ACACCAGTTTGGTAGAACACCAGTTTGGTAGAACCGGTTCATCAAATCTACCGAACCGGTTAGAAGAGGTTCCACCAGTGGACCCGGAAAGCAGGCCACACCTATAGAAGTGGTTCCAATTTTTTTTGAAACCCACCATTGGTTAGAGGTCTATTAAACATATCTATCCAAATATCCTCAATATCCTATTGATCAATACAAGGAAGTCAAGAGTGGGGTTGTTAGTACACATGCCCTGCAGTTGCTTAATGTGACCACAACGAAAAGGCAGGATTATTAAAGTGTTCAAGCGAAGAAAACTCCCATCACTTACTGAATGTTTCCCACAGAGACATCCTTCTCCAATGTCTTTGCCACTTTGAAAACATTGGATAACTGCTGTCGAGATTCATCTTCGTGGATGAAAACTACCTCGGAGATCGAAAATGTGATCACACCATTTTCACCTGAATCGGCATCCTTGGCCTGGAAAGGGGGAAACAATATTGATGGACTTTGAAATATGATCAGATCCTGTCACAGAGTTTGTGTGAGCATCCAGTTTAGTTTCTAAAAAAACAACCACCAGGAAATCTGTGCAGCTAAATAGGTATTCATAATCTTACCTTGACCACAGCCACAGACAGGTCTAGCGAAGAGATTTCTGGGATTATTACTGCAATGAAACACCAGATACAGATCAGCAAAAGGCAATGGGCATCTTGCTCTGCTATCAGGCTTACTACCAAATCACATTATAATGGAGCTGTGCTGTCTACTCCCAAGCTCTATCAATAACCATTCACTGGCTGTCAGTATGGCATTCCTCTGCCCTAGCTAGAAAACTGAATGTTCCCATCATGATTGGCTAACATAAAGAGGAATGTACACATCATGGGTGTCCAAACTTGGAAACTTTAAGACTTGTGGACTTCAAGAATTCTGGGAGTTGAAGTCCACAAGTCTTAAAGTTCCCAAGTTTGGACACCCCTGATGTACTGTATACATGGAAGAAAGTGATGTGATGAAAGAAGCTTTATGACAGGGCTATCAAACTTGCAGCCCGCAGGCCGGATGCGCTGACCAGCCTGTTTCAGTGAAGGGGGGAAAAGTTGCGCTATGTCACATGATGATGCTGTAAAGCCATGAGTTTGACACCCCTATTTTATGAGAACTGTAATAAGGTAGGATAGAGATGGATGCCCCTGCGGCTAAGCCTAGCAGAAATGTCCCTGTTAAGGGAATCCTTAAAGCACGCTACCATCTACCTATTAGGGGGGAAGGGAGACATACCATGGTTGCAACTGTCCTACATCTCTGCTCTTACCAAAGGTGTCATCAACAGGATAAAACTGGGGTGCGTTGTCATTTGCATCACCAATTAAGATGACCAGAGTCTCTGGGGAAAAAAAAGCCACAAATAGGCAAGTTCTAGCCATTGATATGAAAACAGCTCTGCACGTCTTCCCAGAACCTGCACATTGGAGCCATAACCCTGTTCAAGTACAACTAGACCCATTTCCCACCAATAGCAGGTGTTGCACCCTCATTTATGTAACAGTGTCAATGCTGATACTCCTCCAACTGTGAAGTTGTTAGGAGCAGATAATCTGTGGTTATACTTTTTTGCAGCTACCTTTCTAAGTCTCTAAGACACAAATAAAACAGTGACAATACCCTGAGATAGAGAAACAAGTCTGTGATACGTTTTGTCACTCACTCCCTTTCTACTCTGGCAGGCACTGAAGCAATGGCCTCCATTCATTAATACCAAGGCCACCCACGACAGCCTTCTCCAACATTATCCCTACATAACATGGTTAGTACATCTGGAGGCCAGCAGGCGAGGGTTACGGAAGGTATTGATGAAGACAGCTCAAGTGAATATGGTTATTCTAAACAATTACATTGCTCCTGCGGAATTAATTTTAAAAAAATCTAGTAGAAAGGACAAGTAGGACAGATAGAGGAAGGGTGTACATCTCACAGGATAAAAAATTGTGAAAGCAAGTGTTCATACAGGTAGGTGCCTTACCATTTCTACTGTAGGGATTTCCTACTGCAGTGAACTCGTCCTTAACACGCAGTGTGATTTCCACTTGGGTGCACCGTTCATAGTCTATATCTGAACTATTCACAAAAAGTGATCCATTGGCTTCTAGCTGGAACCAGTGCTGACATATATTGCCTGCACTGCCTGTACTGTTGAAACATGCAACACCCAACTCCTGGAATACTAATGAGTGGTTGGTGTCCTTATCAGTAGCCTCCAGCTCAGCTGCTAACTTATGTAGTTTTTCATTCTCTCTAACGTGAATGTTTTCTGGTGGAAATGGTACAATGGTTGGGGACTCATCGTTGACATCTAGCACATACACCTTCACCATGGCAATGGCAGCTTCTATTGTTTCCCCTAAGTCTGAATTTTCAGCCCGTAGAATGAGATTGAAGAACTTCTCCTGCATTTGGTCATAGTCAAGAACAATTTCTGGGTCTAGATACAACATGCCCTGATACCAGCCAGATCCCTGGGCGCTGGAGCGAATCAGAAAGTTGTTTGAGCCTGTGCTGCTATTAATGTAGAATGAAATACGGTTGTGAATTTGTGTTTGGTCAGCATCTCTGGCTTCCACAACTCCCACTAAGGTACCTGAGATAGAATTGGAATATGAAAATTAGAATAATTGCAGAGTTAAACATATACCATCCTTCTACACCCCAGATCAAAGAAGTAGAGGTCTATAGTTCCCTTGTAAATGGCAATGCCCCAATCAAGCAAATGATATCCTCCACCTCCAGTTTCATGCATTACTCCTACTGTCGGTTCGCAAGAATCCTTTCATGCACTATTTTGGTGATTTAAACTGCCTCTTATTGGATTGGCCTTGAAGATGCCAGTTACAATCTCATAACACATAAATCACTTGCTTTGTACAGGTTGCCAAACTCCTGTGTTTTGCTTAACACTTGACTTGGTTTACAAAGCACACCTAGCCTCTTTGGCCATAACTGAGAAAAGTGACAATAATCTTGTCTGCCATTTGTCCGTCAACGCATGAAAATTGCAATGTACCAAATCAAAGCTGAAAAGTAAAGAAAAAGCTAAAGATTACTCCTCAGCCCCAGTCATATATGTGATGGGATGTCATCTGCCTACTTTGCAGCCCTATGTTAAAGGTTGCCCAACTCCTGTGTTTTGCATTATTAGGAACCATTGTTAATCCTCTTATCCCTTAAGATCTGTGCAGAATATTATACATTAAAACTTTGGGGAAACTTTGGGAGAATATCATCTGATTCTATCTAGAACTTCCTCTTCAAGAAAGGCTAAGATTGGTTTAGAAAGGCCTGGGAGATTTTCCTCTCCCCAAACGATCAAGATAATGCAATCAATGAATGCTGATCCTTAGAGCTTTATATTGCTTGCTCCTATAATAGGTATCTAGGAACCAGAGCAATAAAGTCCTGTGGCATCATGTCTAGCTTCTGGTCATGTTATAGTGGTGGTTATGGTAAAAGAACACTCAACTAGACTGCTGTCATCTGATACACTAGAGCTTTGTAGATAGTTTATTTAACTCCTCACTTTGGATTTTTTTAGAAGTCAGTAGCTATGGTTTTTGCTTCAGGTTACCCTACAAGATATTTTCTAGTTTCATTTCCAGTCCAGAACAAAGAAATTCAATGAATCATACCTCGCAAGTCTTCAGAAACAGAGAACTCATAATTCAAACTGCTGAAGCTGGGTGCATTGTCATTTTTGTCCTAAGGCGAGAAGTACTTACGTTGTTATGCCACATACAATTGAAACCCCACTACCATAATTACCTGTCTGCAAAATAAAATCAAATTTCATTTCTGGAAATGTATTTTACCCATGTCCCCTTCTCCACCAAGAATTTTACATTGTCACCACCTCTTTCTCCAACTGCCTTAGCTCAAACTCCTGGCAAAGAGCAGTAGGATTACCTCCACAGTGATGGTGACATTGACAGTGGTGTTCAACTGAGGGATTCCCAAGTCTTCTACAAGTATCATCACCACTATCTTCCCGTTGAGCTCCACAGGAATAGCTTCTCGGTCCAAGGGCCCTTTGCTGATGAGCTCTCCAGTTTCTGGGTTAATAGTGAAGTTGTTGCTGAAATTGCCAGGCATAATTTCAAAATGCAGTCGGCTATTATTGGTTTCTGGGTTATCCTGATCAGTGGCCTGGGAAAAGAATTGGGGGGGGGGGGGAATTAGTCTTACTTTTTACTCTTCCTTGTTCCAGTCAATATTATGAATAAGTTTAAACTTCTTCAACTGGATAATATGTTGATGAAGATTCTCAGTCATCCAAGTAGAGTTGCTTGGAAGTTGAGTCATGGCAACTGGATCTCTTTTCTTTGAGTGTGATGTTTTGCTGCTTATCTAAGCAGCTTCTTCAGTCTGGATCACCTTTATAGGCATTTGGTCAGCCAACGGAGAAGCAAAAATAGGCACTCAACATGCCAAGTAATTACCAGATTAGGTAAAGTTGAGTTATACTAAAATGAAGATGAATATCCCATATTTACCTTGTATGACAGGTCCACACATTTTTCTATGGCAGGTCTATATCGATTTGAGGATATTATTGGTCTTAGACTTCTCAGTCTAAACTGTAACCGTGTGGCCTCTCTAAAGGGGACCATCTAACTACTAATCAATATGATTCTGCTTAATATTTTATTAGATCAACCAAGATCACTTATACTTGCTATGGCAATTTCAGGAACCAAGATGGAAATAGATGGTAATTTAACTCCTTTTACCAGAACTCATGACTTACTACTTCACAGACCTCATAGAGTTCTAGACTGTAGATCCAGGCCTGGAAGAGGCCAAAACATAACACACATAGCATACTAAACCATGTTGTGAGTTTCTTTTGGACATGGTATATTGTGAGAACCAAGCCAATTATGTTTCTAAAGTAAATCGTGGTGAAATAAACCATGATTTAACATGATGTGTGACTCCTCCAATCCAGGATATTCTTTAACAGCCACATTATTATTTATTTATTTTGAGTATGGCATATAATACATGGACTAGCAATAACAACAACGACAAAAAATAAAGTACATTATGTTCCAGGTCAATGTAATGCATCGATACCCATGCAATTTTATCCAAAACTGGCTGTTCATTCAATCTACTATGGCACAACCAGCACAGATTATGAAAAGGACAATACTATCCTACATCAGACATCCCAGCTACAACCAATAGACTATTACAACTACATGGCATCTTGTAGCACACAAACCACAAGATGTCTCCAAAAACCACAAACAACTAAAGGTCTCCAAAATGTCTTAACTAAATCAAAGCATCCAGAAGATGCTTTGAACAAAAACCAAGAATTATCTACAAGGTACAATGCAAAGACTGGAACAGCCTCTATAAAGGATGGATAGGGAGAAGACTAGCAGAGGGCATCCACAAACACTAACTAGCAGTCAGAAGACACAATGACAACTCCTTAATTTCACAACACAAGTCAGATTCAACCATAGTTTTAACTTGGAAACTGCAAACATCTTAGGCCAATCCATATCCAAAGCCTCTAAAGAGTTTCTGGAGACTTGCATTCAGAAAAATTGCCCATCATTAGATACAAAAAGATAAACCATTTTTACATACCATTCAAAACAGACAATAAAAAAGCAAAGGGGGAAACAAAAAGAACAAAACACATCATTTCCAACCAACACAGAAGGACCATCACAAGACAAAGAAACAAGCAGAAAACAATACTTAATCAAAGAACTGGAATATCTAATCCACCAAACTGGCAAGGCAAGATACTGTATATAAACCAGGAGTAAAATCCACCAAGGATTCTACAAGTCAATCTATACCTTAAATAAATAGATATCCCACACCTGTTTTAAACCTATGCATATAAATGGTTTAAGTCAGAGGTGGGATTCAGCCAGTTTGGACTAGTTCGGGCGAACTGGATGTTAATTTTATATCTGGTTCGCCAAACCAGTAGTTCCAAGGACTGCCTGTCCCACCCCGCCCCTCTCAGGAGTCTCCATGTGGCCCATTTTAGATACCAGGTAAGTGCAGGGCGTGTACGGAGGCTCTGGGAGGGCAAAAAATGGGCCTTCCAGAAGTTCAGAAAATCCAGAAATGGGCCTATTTCTGGTCTCCGAAGGGCCCCCAGAACCTGGGGGTGGCGATTTTCACCCTCCTGGAAGCTTGAGGACTACCTCTGGAGCCTGGGGAGGGTGCAACCCCCCCCCATGTGGTGCAGGAGGCCAACTAGGCCACGCCCACCATGGCTATGCCCACCCAGCAACTGGGCGGAGAACCAGTTGCTAAACATTTTCAATCCCACCCCTGAATGTGATAGGTTCTTATTTGCATGGAAAGAACTATTTCTTTTAAACCCAAAGTTAAATGATCTATAATTGTGGCATTCTGAAGTTACTGTCTATATTCTAGAATGATTGAAAATGACATCTTTAAAAAACACAAACGCTCAGAATATCACATTCCAATGTTCCATAATTTTGAAATAGGACTGGAAAGAAAGAGGGCAGTCACAATTTGGTGAAAAAAATCTCAGCTTCAAAGGTAAACGTCCATGTTTATAATCTATAATTGAATTATTACTTCTTCTAAGAAGCAAACTATTGCATTTTGTTTTGCTTGAAAATGCTATTAGTTTGGAGAATGTTTCAGCAGACAAAGGAAGCTGGCATTTTAACTTTACCTGGATCTGGATAGGCTCGATGCTGTTGCCCTCAATTACTATGAAGTTGTAGGAACCTATCACAACCGGAGGATTGTTGTTGATGTCAATCACTGTGATCTCCAATTGGGTAGAACCAATCAACCCACCACCATCCATTGCTTGCAAAGTGGCATAATAGACAGGGCGCATCCCCCAATTTATTTTGCTGCCATTGGCCACAAATATTGTACCGTTCATTGAATTCACAGTGAAATCTGATTGGCTGCAAAACAGATAAACAAGCATATCTTTAATTGTGTGATCACACTCACTTAGCAAGAAAATGTTGCCACATTGCTCTTTCTGTTCCTCTCTGCTATAATTATTGCACTGTATATACTTACATGCTCTTAGGCAGTAATTGGTAGGTGATCTCTCCAAACTTTCCACTGTCTGGATCAGTGGCCTGCAAAAAAAGAAGAAGAAGCCATTTGTTTATCATAGGTTCATCAGGATTTGAAGTCTGAACCTCAGGAAGGAGGGAATTGGGAAATAAATAGATTTCCTTTCTATTAATAAATACTGTAATTGGTCTGAATGGATTAATAGCAGGTCTTAAGGCCAAATCAGTTGTTGCTAGATTTATAGAAGAAAAATTGAAATATATCTACAGTATGTGCAGGATAGAGTGTCATTTTGGTGTAGGGGTTGGCATCAGTCTAGAAATCAGGAGACTGTGAGTTCTAGTCTTGTTTTAGGTCACAAACCAACTTAGTGACCTTGGGCTAGTTACTTTCGCTTCATCCTAATAAGGAGGCAACAGCAAACCACTTCTGAAAAACCTTGCCAAGAAAACTTCAGAGATTTTTCCAGAGAATTGGATATGACTGAATAGAAGGTTAAAGAAATATGCAGGTTGTGGAGAAACAAGGAGCATAATATCCTAGAGGTGCAAAACAGCCATAAAGTCATAGAGATAATAGGCCTTTCTATCTCCATCGTCTTTAACCCCAGGAGCTCCAAAAGGCGTAGAGATTTCTTACTGTGATATTATAAGCTACAATGGAACCAGGTGGGCTCTCTTCCAATACAAAGAGCTTGTAGTCAGTCTGTCTGAATTCAGGCCTGTGATCATTGATGTCAAGAAGATGGATGGTCACCGTGACAGAAGAGCAGCAATCATCTTTCCTCCTGGTATCATTTGCTACAATCTGTTAGCATACAAAAGCATCAAATTACTGCGCTCACCTCATTTATAAGAGTCACTGTATCGGTTCCACCACAAAACCGCGGTAGACTAAAGCGCGTGTGACTAAAGCGCGGTGACAAAACCGCACCGTCAAAA